TATCAATACTTGATCAACCTTATTCTTTTTGAGGTCTGCAAAGCATTTCATGATATAGGATAATTGTAATGTATTTAATCAGTTCCCTGTTGATGGATATTTCATTTGCTTTGACTTTTTCCCTATTGGGGTAATATTTCAATGAACAAGATTTTGACTAAATTTTATGCCTTCAGATACCAAATTGTGAGGAACTGGAATAGAAGCTATTTGTTGAAATTGTAAAAGTACATAGAAAAGTAAGCAAGCAAATAAAATGGTGATTAGCCACCAGGAAATAAAAAGTGAGAAAGGAAATGTAATCAGAGTTCTGAATCAGATTTAAATAGTTTTAATTATGTGAAAACATAATATTGACTGACTGAAATGAGAGTTGAACTTTATTGGGGGGATGAGAATGATGTGCATGTATTTGGTAGGGGCTGAGGATTGAGGGAGAAAATGCTAAATCTTCATCTGTCCTTGTGAGAAGTGAAGGGAGAATGCCTAACACTGAGAAAGTGAGAAGTACCAGTGCGAATATTATTTAAAGATCTGGAGATACATTTCTAAATTATCAAGTAAATGAGATAAAAATATTTTCCATGGAACTTGTATGTTTTCTGTAGCATCATTGAACTCTTTGATTCTTTAAATGATCCCATCTTTTAAATTGATTTTAAAAATAGAACCAGAGTAGAAGACACATGTCTTTCAGTTGTTCCTGTTTATCATTACATGTTGCCTATTTTTATTCTTTTTTGAGAATATAATGCCTCTGGAGAACAGTGACTAGATGAGTGGCCACTGTCAAGATTGACTTAACTTTACAGTGTATACCCACTTGTGCTTCTTGTGTTCCATGTTTGTATATTTCTTTTCCAAAAGTGAAAGCAATAGTTTTTTTTCTTCATTTCAAACCCAAAATATTAACTTGTTAGTTTTGCTTTAGTTTAGCATTCCATGCCATGAATTTTTGGTAGAAATTTTTTTTTGTTTCTATTATGTATTCCTTTCTATCCTCTCTGGTTATTTGAGTCTAAGAAATACTATAATAATGAAAACAAGGATATAGCATTAGGTTTCATTCATTGGTTCTTTTTTCTTGCTCATTCACCTCAAGTGGTGGACTCCCCAGTTGGACTGGTGGTTAGCCTCTTATCTCTGTAACCAGAAACCACTCTCCCCAGAGCACTGCACTCACCTCCCTCTGCTTCTGGTGTGTGGGTTCCCATCAAAGACTACCTTGTACTTTCGTGGTGCCCAGACTATTAATTCTTTTTAATACTGGATAAGTTTAAACTATTTAGTAAAACACAAAACACAAGCTTCTTTTACTTAGTCTTTTTCCCCCCTTCATTCTAGGCCAATGGCTCTAAGTAATTAATGACCTTATCATCTTCAATCTTCCTCAGTAAATGATTTGCTTCCTTCCTGGCTGAAGTCTTGGCTTGGGAATTATTTAAAATCAGATACCAAAACATGAGTTGGAATACACAATGGAAGAAAAGACCTCAACTGCAATCCAAAGACATTTGGGTCCACATTTATCAAAATTACAAATCCATGTGCCTTTGCTGCTACTTCTAGTAAGGTATCCTAAGGTTTGTACACACATGTGAAATGGCATATGTAAAACTTTGCTCCTTGCAGCATTGTAACAGCAAATATTGCAGACAACCTACAAATCAATAGGAGACTCAGAGGAATTGTGAGGCATCTGCCCAGTGGAATGTTACATAGCTATTCTTTTGTAATGAGGTGTATCTGTAGATACTGAGGTAGAACCATCTTCAAGAGAAGTTGATACTATAAAAAAAGATAAATTATATGTAGTATGCTTTCATTTTATAT